GTTGCAACGGGCTTCTGTATATACTACTAACAATTTAATATTAATTAAGACAATGTATATAGAAGCCTACCAAAGCTGAGTATATTCCCCAAATAATTATCATTATTATATGTGTTTATATTATATATAACTGTATATTTTTTATTTAGAATTTTTTTACTGCCCTCATCCTTCCATATCTATTTTATCCCCACATTACCTCGCAGCCTGACAAGAATTTGAGCCTTGTTATCAACTCAATAAAAACTGTAGATGGTTCAGATGGCGTCATGAAATGGAGGCAGGTCATAACTTGAATTCAGCCTCTCCTCTTGGAAAAGGCTACTGGCCAACTTTAGGTAGGGAGCATGAAGACCATAAATGACAAAATTATGTTAACATAAAAAGGCAGGTATCTAGCTGGAGAAGAGCACAGGCCAAAGAAGAGCAATATGGGAAAAAGGGAAAATTCAAGGTGGATAATGGTGACCTCTGATGCCCTGAGGCCACCAGAGCATATTCCACATGGAGCATGACAAGGTACCACCCTCTCCCCATCACATTAAATAACAGGACAATTTGCTATAGCTCCATCCTAGCTCATTGTTTTTACAATTTCATTAAAAGACAACAAATTTAAGTATAAGAAGTCCCATTAAGGGCACCTGGGTGGCTCAGATGGTTAAGCGTCTGCCTTTGGCTCAGGTCATGATCTCAGGGTCCTGGGATCGAGTCCCGCATTGGGTTCCCTGCTCCTTGGGAGCCTGCTTCTCCCTCTGCCTCTCTCTCTCTCTCTGTCTCTCATGAATAAATAAATAAAATCTTTAAAAAAAAAAAAAAAAACAAAGAAGTCCCATTAAAAAAAAAATCCCATAAACTTGGAAGTATTCCTCGACTCACCGCCATATGTTCTTTTCAATCCTGCCCGGAGGCCCTGTGGAGGCTCATTGGCAAATTTAATGGCCATCTGAAGGAGCGTAATGGGAAAGTGCTTATGAACTTCGGTGGTCATCCATAGGCGGAAAGCATCATGTACAATCTCGGTTTCTATAATTATGTCCATTAGCTCATCCATGAAATCGAGCCCCAGATGGCAGTTCTGCAGAAGTGCCCATCCTCCCTAAGTCAACAACAGTAAACGGAAATGAGACACTATTTCCTGTTTCACCCAGAGATGTAAATTAATATATTCTTTAGAAAGTAGGTAATTAAAATTTTAAAAGAGAAACACACTAACGACTAAATTAATCCAAGTCAAATCTATGGATACAACAAGGTTTATTTGAGATAAGTATGTTTGTTTTTCTTGTTCCATGCATTTGTCTCACAGCATACCAGCATGCCAACTGATAATATTTGGTAGGAGTCAGGAAAATAACCAGAGTTGGCCTCAACTCTGAAGAGATAACATCACTGTCATGTGCAGATGGTTGAGTGAAAATGTCCATTTACCTCAGCTTCCTCCCACGTTCCATGAGAAGTACAAAGAAGGGACATTTTTAAAGGCATGAACTCTTAAGGACAAGGACAGTGAGGGCAAAGACAGTATCAGTAACATTTAAAAGAGACTCAAGAAAGCTAACTCCTCAACTGGCATTCAAGGAAAGCTGACAAGTAACCTGATTTATGCCACATAACTCCAAACACTCAAGAGCAGGTGGTGAGACATTCCTGTGGAAGTGGGAGAGAAGATGCGCTCACACAAGAGACCGAAAGTCCAGCCCCCCAAAATATTCCTGCGTCGCCTAAAGAAAGAGGGGAAAGCTGATTTTCTTTAGAAGGGACAATGGACAGGGTCTGGACTGAAGGACATCAGCACATTAAGGGTCTAGAAACCTCACTGAAGACAGATGAAAGAAAGGCTACCTACTCAATTTTGAGACCTATTCCCTCCCTCCTCTCATGGAGTTCCCAAAACCCTGGCAGCAGGATGTATACCCTCTAGAAAGTGGGAGAGCCTTCTGTGGGGAATCTGCCCACTCTAAGAACAAGAGCCTTAGAATATAATAAGCCCTATCTTTTGTATAACACATTTTATGAGCATAAGAATGTTCCTTGTATAAAGCAACAAAGGCAATATTTTAGATCATTTTGTAATAATTTACTCAATATCTGATCTATAGAATATTTTTGCTAAAATGATCTAGAATATCCAGATCACCATCTCGAGTTGTTTTCTTGACTCTGTAATTTTGGATCATTTAGATTTGACTAGTGCAGCAAATTTAAAATCTTGGTATATAAAATGGATCACTATGAAATTTCATATACCCCTTCTATTTTCTTGAGGAGTATATAGCACTGCTGAATAAGTAAACTATTTTTTGTCCCTTGAAAAATTCAATTGGCACTGTTCACAATTCAAAAAAAATTAAATATAAAACATAACAACCACAAAAAGGATTGAGCCACCCTCTGTCACCCAGCATGCTGGGGAATCTGAGGTGAGAAGTTTGCTGTTTCAACTCTCCCCCTGGAATCCATTAGCCAAGGCTGTTTCTGTGGGATTACCCCAATCTGTATTAAATGTTTTGTGTTCTTCTTACTGAGTAGATCATCCACATTGCTATTCTTGTGTACTTGGTTCATTCTGTCGTATTGCCTCAAACCTTCCTTTTTTTCTTTTATTAAGATTTTATTTTTTAAGTACTCTCTACATCCAACATGGGGCTTGAACCTATAACTCCAAGATCAAGAGTTGCGGGCTCTACTGACTGAGCCAGCCAGGTGCCCTACCTCCAATCTTTCCTACAAAACTTACAAAAACTAGTATCTCTGAAAGTTATAAGCATGCTAATAATAACACTATTTTTTTCTTTTACTTGATTTACTAAACTAGTAAACAGAAAACATGAATAAACTGAAGGCTAAAATTATTCCATTTATATTCTAATTGCCTGAAACTATAATTATTAAACACTTATTTATTTTAAATTAGAGTTAGAGTTAAATAGGTGTCCTGTTATTTTTGGTGTCTTTGTTCTAAGCACAGTAATATGCAGAGGGAGGAAAGAGGAAGTAAAAAAGAGGGAGGGAAGAATGGGGAGGAGGCCAAGAGGAGGGAAAGGCCAGGGTTGAAGTCCACTAAGCTCTCATGTCAGACCAGACCTGGGATTCTTTTTAAGATTTTATTTATTTATTTTAGAGAGAGAGAAAGCGCATAAGCAGGAGGAAGGGCAGAGGAGGAGTGGGTAGAGAGAATCCAAGCAGACTCCACAGAGCCCAACTCAGGGCTCAATCCCAGGACCCTGAGCAGAAATTAAGAGTTGGATGCTTAATCAACCTAGCCACCCAGGCGCCCCTTCCAGACCTGGCATTCTTAAGTATAGATGCATGTTTTCATCTCTGGATACACTTCAGTCCACCCCTGTTGCCCTCCCAGCTGCATATCAAGTGCTCAGACAAGGCACACACATGTGAGCCCCCCCACAACCTTCACCAAAGCTGGGGGTGGGGCACAACTTGGGGATAAAAGAGCCGCAAGGTAAATATGGAGGTTCTAGAACACAGTGGGCTCAGTTCTAGACCAGAGGAAAGAAACCAGGATGCAGCACAATAGAGGTTCTAGATTCAGTGGCTAGGACCTAGAGCCCAGTGGTTTCACGGTGGGCCTAGCGAGACAGCAAGTTCTGCCCTCAGCAGGGGGATTCCCTGGAGGGCAAAGAAGGAGTTTTGAGATATGGGGGGAGAGCTCAGACTCAGGGAAGGAGGAGTAGGGTCTGATCTAAAAAAAAGCCAGAAAGGCATCTAGACCAAGACTGCATGTTCTCCAGTGGGAATGAGAAGCCAAGTCATTCCGTCCTCTTTGCTTGGCCAAAGCATGGAGGAAGAGGAAAACAGGGGTAACAGTTCCTCCAGACAGAGTTAGACACTGCAGAAAGGGCTAGACCAGAGTAAACACATGAGTGCCCTGTCCTAGAGATGGAATTCTAGAGATGAAATGGAAAACCTTGTGCATTCAGTTAATTTAAGTCCCTGGAAGTGTCCCAGCTCTGGACTGGACTATCCCTTTGCAAGATTACCATGTGGTTTCTAGCACTTTATAGCCTCCAGGTAAGGCCTGAGCATGGCATGCTCTGCATGCTACAGAATTTGCAAGCCACAAAGGGCTCTAGGAGCCCCAGCCTGGAAGGCAATAAGCCAGGTATATATAATAAAACCTCTGGTACCACCACAAGGTAATGGCAGATTCCTGGCCTCTGGGATCTGGGCCAAGCCTGGGGGACTCCAGAGCACAGATTATACATTCTGGAACTCAAGAAAGACATGGTGTGGTGGATTCTGGAGTGCTGGGGATTCCAAGAGCAGCGCAGGAATCATGGTGGAGGGGCTAGAGTGTATGGCACAGGGGTTGGGGCTGTAGACCCCTCCCCACTCCCAAGGATTTGGGATCTAGAGTGGGGCTTAACATTATGCAAACTGGTCGAGAAATAAGATGCTCTGGTTGGGTAAGTTTTCCATAAGTCAAGGCTCAGCAGAAAAAATTGTATTTGTTTTTCTATGAAAATTTTCTAATAGATATTAAACCTTTTCCTGTTTAGTGAACAGCACAAAGCATGTAAATTTAAACTCTTAATGATTCATAAATTCTTTTCTGCATTGCTATTCTATAACCTGTAATAACAACATAACCTAAAAGTAGACATTTGGCCTCACATTTGCCATGGTCTGCTGTAAGAGCTTGCGCGCATGGACCTCCTGGCCCTGGCCCATGGACACATAACGGGTTTCTATTTTTAATCTCTTCCCCAAGGCAATGATGGAATCCGTGGGATCTGAGCCCATAGATAGGAGACAGATGAGTGGTGTCCGTGGATCAGATTCCTCCCACGTCTTTTCCAAGTCCAGGATAACTCCTTCTGCATAGCGCTCTCCCATAGAGTCCATGATGTACTTGCGGGCCTGCCAAAAACAGTACAGGAATCACCAAAACTGATTCTAACTCCTCCATGTGTTATGATGCAGGGTGGCTTCCAAAATTCATTTTGGTAGAGTATCTCAATGATGTCCACAGTAACTCTGCCAGGGAAATAGGACAGAGACATTTTTCTTGTTATATCTCCACTCTATAGATGATAGAGAGGCTGTGTTATTTGCCAACATACAGTCACACAGTTCAAAGACCAGAACCCAAGTTGGCTGACCACTTGTCTGGAACCTGTTCTATACACTGGCTACTTCTTGGTACATAAAAAATTAAAATTATTAGGAAACTGTATTATTTAGGATGCTTTAAGGGAAATGTATATGCATTCTAATACAAATAACCAGCACAATGCCTGGGATTTCATGGATACTTATCAACAGATAACTGAACGATTTCTTATTAAATGAAATATATTAGATATTTAATGAATGAGTTAATGTTTTAAAGATTTAGTCCATAATTATTCTCCTAATCATTCTCATGATCCCTTTCCATTTTTGGCTTATCCCCTTTACCATTAATTTTGTTTTGACTGAAATACATGCTCACAATATCACAGACTTTGTCAACTGTATTATCAACCATATAAAAATATTTCAAGTAACAACATAGTCCTTTTCCAAACAAAGTAAAATAATTAATCAATAAGATACTATTATGAGTAATGACCTTTAGTTTCTATTCTCCCTCTGGTAAAAACTGGGTTCCCTCATTGGGGAGGATGTGTGCTATGGTGAGTGCTGTGAATTGTGTAAGACTGTTGAATCACAGACCTGTACCTCTGAAACAAATAATCCATTGTATGTTAAAAAAAAAAAAAAAGAAGAAGAAGATAGCAGGAAGGGAAAAATGAAGGGGGGGAATCAGAGGGGGAGACAAACCATGAGAGACTATGGACTCTGAGAAACAGAGGATTCTGGGGGTGGGCATGGGGGATGGGTTAGCCTGGTGATGGGAATTAAGGAGGGCACGTACTGCATGGAGCACTGGGTGTTATATGCAAACAATGAATCATGGAACACTACATCAAAAACTAATGATGTAATGTATGGTGATTAACATAACATAATAAAATTTTAAAAATTAAAAAAAAAAATCAAATGGAAGAAAAAAAAAAACTGGGTTCCCTCAAAGAAAAATTTCCTATTCTGTTTTCTTCTCCTACCCCCATGGGAGTAAAACCCAAGTTTCCCTCCCCAGTGAGATTCCCCAGAAAAATTTCTCTCACATAATAAGCAGAGTGAGGTGGGCCATGGTGGGACCCCACTTCCATTTCCAGAGAAACACAAAACAGTTGTAGGCAGGGTTTCCCTTAAATCAGAGAGGCTTGAGATAGACCTGGGCCAAAATGAGAGTGGTGCTGGTTAAACTGTTGTCTTTGACTTACAAACATCCAAAGTTTGATTTCAGTCAGTAAAACAGGCTCTTCCTCCATTTTGAATATCCAGCTAGGCACTATGCATTCTCAAAGGTCTCTGAGCTTAAAATTTGGGATGATGTCCCCGCTCACGTTTGTCCTCTTTGCAGGTTAGAGTGGGAAGGTAGTGGCTACAATAAGAGACTCATCCAGATTTTGGGTGAGGAGTGGGATTTATCTAGACAAGGAGGACAGGTAGGAGAGGCAGTGTGGTGAGAATTCCATGCAGAGAGCACAAATGCAGAGACCTTGAAACAGAAAAGAGCAAGTCACCAAGAGGGGACAGAAGGACATGCAGTATGACTTATGTAAGATTCAGCTGTGGGGCACCCAGGCTTCTGCATAGCTCGTTGGCACAAATGGAAATAGAGTGCCACATTGTCACAACTTACTCTTCACACACTTCTGAAGAATATTTTTGTCCCAATACCTGATTCCAATGAAAAATAAACAAGTAAAAAAGCAACAAGTAAACCTCTGCACCTATTCTGACCCTCTTCGCTGAGCGTTTTTGAGACACAAATGTTCACACACTTCTGAAGAACATTTTTGTCCCAATACCTGATTCCAAAGAAAAATAAGCAAGTAAAAAAGCAACAAGTAAACCTCTGCACCTATTCTGACCCTCTTCGCTGAGTGTTTTTGAGACACAAATGTGTATGTGGCATGAGATACCCTCTAAGAGTGCACTGTTTTTGCAACCAGGCAGCTGAATGTCCCCTGACATGGGCAGTCATGCTCATCCAAAATACTGAGAACAAGCCTGATGCTGCTTATGGAGAATGGGGACTAAATATACCCACACTGTAGACCTTTGAATATACGTCCCAAGAAGGTGTCTGGTTGAAAATCACAAAAGGAATGTAATGTGAGTATAAGAATTTCAGAGGAGAGGACATTTTTCCAGAGGGCCCTTGCAGATCTTAAGACTTGAGTGTTATCAAAGAGGCCTTGGGAAGCCACTGAAAGACTTTAAAAAGCAAGGAATAGCATAATCATATTTCCATTCCTTCTAGAGTATACAGGATAGACTAGAGTGAGCAAGAAGGAACAAGAGGAGATCCCAGTTAGGAAGCCATTGCTGCGGTCAGTCTATAGATGACAGAAGCTAGGATGAAGATGACAAAATTACAAAGGAGCCTTGTAGACTTAAATTCAGCATAGAACCAAATAAAGTGTTACATCAGAAAAAAAAAAAAGGAAGAAAGGAAGAGAGTAGAGGGAGAGAGAAAGAGGGGAGAGAAGGAAGGAAAGAAGATGGAGGAAGAAAGAAAGGGAAGGGAGAGAAAGGAAAGAGGGAAAGAGGGAAGAAGAAAAGAAGAGAAAAAAAAGAACAGAACTACTTGAACCTTCTACACTGTCCTTAAGGCAACAGTTTGACAATTCTTTTGGGCAGGATAAAAGTAATGAAGTTGAGAAGAAAAACTGAAGGAAGGGTGATCTCAGTTGCCCTGCATTACAGAACTCATTTTTCTTTTCTCAATAAATCATTGAATCTAGTTGTTTTCATGATTCCTCTGTACCTACCTGGACTTGGAGGTGGCTTTTCCCTGTTTTTAACACTCCCTCTGGAGAGTGGAGGGGAGAACTTCCTACATTCTATTATAAACCCAGCGTATTGTTAACTCTATGGCTTGTCTGGGGAAGCCCCTAAGGAATCCACCTGAGCTGAATATTCAAGCTAAAGTTTTCATTGTGAAGGCAGGACACGGGCAAGTCTTATTAGCAGTGACATTTCCAAGACAGGAGGCCAGCAGATTAAAGGTCTTTGAAAAGATGGATCTCCTGGAGGCAGGATTCACATTTAAACCATATGTAAAACTGACAGGGTTTTAGGCCAACTCTTGCATCAAGGGTCCTGAGATGCCTGGGGTTATAACTGTAGATTTGGGAATACTATGTCTCCCTCTCATCTACCTCTCCTCCCAAGGTTTCCACATCTTTCCTACTTCTTTTTTTTTTTTAAGTATTTTTATTTATTTTTGCAAGAGAGAGAGATAAAATGCACGAGTGAGGGGAAGGGGCAGAGGGAGAAGCAGGCTCCCCACTGAGCAGGGAGCCCGATGCAGGACTCGATCCCAGGACCCTGGGATCATGACCTGAGCTGAAGGCAGACGCTTCACCGACTGAGCCACCCTGGTGCCCTCACATCCTTCCTACTTAAAGAAACATTGTTTTACTACTAACAGAGTGGAGCAGCCATATCATTTTTGAGTTAATATAAAAATGGTAATGGAAGAGTAATACATTACTTTTACGTCATACCTATAAGCCGACCTTAAAAACATGGCTTTCTCATTCACTCCTGTACCATTTAGACCAAAGAAGATTATTAAATCACTTAGCCCAAATGTACACCTCACTACATTTGTTTACTTTTCCATTTGTCACAGAGGTATTGCCAGAAAATTCCATAGAAGCCTCCAAGAAAATTCTCACTGGGATTAAAATATTCAATATTTCTTTAAATTTAAAAGGAAATTCTCCTTAAAAATATTCTCCTAGGGGGCGCCTGGCTGGCTCAGTTGGTGGCACATGTGACTCTTGATCTCAGAGTTGTAGTAGGTTTGAGCCCCACAATGGGTGTAGAGATTATTTAAAAATAATAAAAACTTCTTTAAAAAATATTCTCCTATTTTTTTCTAATATGAACTTTTTACCTGGGCAATGGTTCTGTCAGGACACCAGGATCTAATAAGGAGAAGACGTCTAAAGCAGTCAAGAGATTTATCATAGGCATCTGGAAGGGGTTCTTCCTCAGGGTTTTCCTTATCAAACCAAATTTTCCACATTTTCTCATTTCTTGATATCTGAAAATACCAGGGAATAAGAATTGCACCACAGCACAGAAAGATCTTTCAGTAATAGTTCACGGTTATTTCTCATCATATCTTCTAACTATTCCAGACACGTGTGAATGATATCCCATGACTTTTTTTTTTAATTTTATATTCCACTACCAAAAATTGTGACAGTCTAAAATCAAATGTGATTTGCTCTAAAATCAGTCTGCATTAATGCCAGGTTACAGCTAGCTTTTGAAGTAGGGAGAGCCTTGGGTTGTTTAATTTCTTCTAATGCCTTTGTGGTATCAAATTTATGAGGAATAAAGAAATCAATGAAAACTCATTTTCATTATTTTAAGGAAATCTGATTTGCTCCATGAAATCCTCTCATGATCAGGAACCAGTTCACTCATTTATTCACGTATGTTTCCTCATTTTCCAAGACCACTCCTGGCACAAAAGAAGACATTTAATATATGTTTATTATTGAACAAAAAGCTTTTTGGTCAATACTCTATTAATCTAGAATAATTTGAAATATACGACTTAATATCACCATCAAATGAGTAATGACACACATGCTCCCTTTACACGATTGATAAGGAGGAAGAGAATACAGTCCATTCTCCTTTGGGGCTTAAAAATAGCGATGGCATTCCATGGGCAATCATCTCCAAAACATAGAACAAACAAATAATGTCAGCAGATAAATATGATCCAATATTCTCTGGTATATTCCCCTTGATTAAAGCCCCAGATATATTTCTTGGAAGCCTAATCAAAGGGAAAAACATTCCAGATCCGTATTTAGAAAGTATTGTGTAAGAATAAAAAGTAATAACCTCCCTCTATCATGAAAGACTACATGACGCGGAGGGATTTCAGGCATAAGACAATCTCCAGGAGACAGCAACTTCAGGAAGAGATATCAGTTGGGGAAAGGTCACTAGGAGTCATCTCATGATGCCAGGGGGCATTCAAACCTCCCAAATGAAAGTTATTTAATGCAAAAGAATGGGTTAAATTATATGGTAGAAATAATACAGACTACCAGGCATAAGCCAACACATACAGATAGAGCCAAACAGTAGGTTTCTGGTCAACCTAAACTGGGAAATTCAGGAACCAACCTTAGTACAATTTCTGGTCATAAAAAGCCTACAACTTGTGGCTGAATAAAGCCACCTTGCTCTCAGTGTGATTTCTCTCTGGTCATCTGATTCTCAAGAATCTGTTTTTTGGTTTGTCTCAATTCAGCTCTCTAGACACCACTTCCATGATCCCAGCACATACACAATTCATCAGGAACTGGCTGGTTATGACAAGGTAATAACTTGTAAAGATAAGGGGCCAAGGATTGGCATCAGATTTATGCCCAGACACCTGGCTAAGGCCATACCATGGGAGAACAAGAGACGAAGAAGAAGAGAAGAACAAGAGGCGAGAAAAGGATCTCTAACATTTAGAGGCAAGCTGTTCATATTTCTTTTCGTTTAATCTCCAGGAAGATGGCAAAACCTCTTAAATATGTCTAGTGATTTCATTGAATCTCTCAGTTTTCCCACTTGTGGATCTCCAGTGGGTGTTACTGACATGGGGCACTGGACAGCACCAGTTAGAGGTGGGTGGGGTCTGCTTCATCAGAGTGTGAGTGAGCGGGAGGAAGGTCAGGCACCGTGGCAAGAGTGACAACATTAAACAATCTCTCTCTTCCACAAATACCATAGCTAGTGATAAATCAGGAAGCTGCTCCCTGCGACACTGTCGTAAGCTTATTCAAAGCACAAGTTACCTGATCAAGGACATCTGAAAACTGTCTGAGTTTGCTGAGTTCCACCAAATTCAACCAGGTCATGTCCAGGATCCATTTAGATGGTTTAGGAGGACAAGCTTTAAGGTCCAAGGAGGCACCTCCTTTAAAATCAAACATAGAAAGTTACTAGATTTTTCTTTCTTTACTCTAAAACAATCTATTTATATAGAAAATCTTTTTCTTACACTTTTAATTATTTTACCACCTTGACATTTTTTAAAAGATTTTATTTATTATTCTGAGAGAGAGAAAGAGTGTGCATGTGTGCGTGAGTGCACATAAGCAAGGGGAGGGACAGAGGGAGAAGCAGACTCCACACTAAGTAGAAAGCCCAACACAGGGCTGGATCCCAGGACCCTGAGATCATGACCTGAGCCAAAGTCTGACACTTAGGGACGCCTGGGTGGCTCAGTCAGTTAAATGTCTGCCTTCTGCTCAGGTCATGATCCCAGTGTCCTGGGATCGAGCCCCACATTGGGCTCCATCCTCAGCAGGGAGCCTGCTTCTCCCTCTGCCTGAAGCTCCCTCTGCTTGTGCTCTCTCTCTTTCTCAAATAAATAAATAAAATCTTTTTTAAAAAAAAAAAGTCTGACACTTAACCAACTGAGCCACCCAGGTGCCCCATTACCTTGTCATTTTTTAGCCTCAGAAATATGTCATAGTAATGAACAAGCTTTATAATTGAATAAAGGAATAGATTATTTTAGAAAAACACATTTAAGAATCAGAAACATAGGTGTGGACCAGGGGGACGCTGGATTCTGTCCTAGCTCTATGTGGCCAAGGTCTAGGACAAGGCAGCTCATCTGTCTGGGTCTCTGTTTCCAAATATGTACACAGGGAATAATGAAGCCTGGGTGTTGTGATGATGACAGAATGAGAGAAAATATATATGTAAAGTGCACAAAACAGGGTCAAGACCACAGTAGAGGGTCACTAAATAAGCAGCTATTGTCAACATTAAGAACTGCTCGATGTTGGCACAAGCTCTTTCAAGGAGAGAATTTATCTAGAAATGTAAGCATCACTACATGTGTTTAAAGGGTTCTCTACTAGAGGAGGGGGGAAAGATGGCAGAGGAGTAGGGGACCCTATTTCAACTGGTCCCCAGAATTGAGCTGGATATCTACCAGACCACTCTGAGCACCCACGAAACCAGCCTGAGATGTAAGAAGATCTGGATCTCTACAAACAGAATATCGCAGGAGGTTGGTTTCAAGGTACGAAGCAGGGAGCCCTGATTCCATGGGCAGATATCGGAGGATAAACGGCAGCGGGAGGGTGCCTGGCCATGGGGATCCTACACCGCCGGTGAGTGACAGCCTCGCGCACTGCGGACGGGCGCAGACTCGCAGACCGGTAGCGTAGGGAAAGGATTTTAGGGTAGCCCCTGGGGTGGAAAACCAGACTGGCGGGGTCGCGCACACTTGAACCGCAGCCCCCCGGACAGAAACCAGAGCGGACAGAAACCAGAGCGACGGTCGTGCGCACACGAACTGCAGCCTCCGAGACGGAAACCCGGTGCGCAGGGGTCCCGCCGGTGAACTGCAACCTCCGGGGTGGAAACCCCAAGCGGCGAAGTCGCGCGCACACGAACTGCAGTCCCCGGGACAGGACCGCAAGCAGCGGAGTTGCACACTGCGCGAACTGGGAGCGGCTGGTGGTATTAGAAGCACAAAGGG